ATTTGTCAGATTAGGTCATTCAATTGATCGACTGCTGAACAATTAACTAATATATTTATACAACATTCATCCTGAGGTTTTACATCTTCTCATAATGAGAAAATGTTTAACTGTGCATCCAGCCTGGTCTTCCAAACAGAAAAAAACACAGGATCTGCTAATTTAGGATATCCATAAGGGGCTATTTCTGCGACGTCTGGAGTCGTCATAGCTTCACCGAACCTGCAGAAATCTCTTTTTGTATCTATTACCTGAGATGGATATTTTTTCCCTTAGATATCAAAACATCACAGCACTTGGGATTGTAGATAAAATCTAATTAATGTTTGACTTTCCAGACTAGGATGTAACATAAACCCTTAGGCTTATTGCGATTATTATTTCATACTTATTTATTACGATTGTAACAAATCGTAACAAAAAAAAATAAATAGTAAATAATGATAAAAAGCACATCTAACATCTAAAGAATAAAAATGGCCCAGGAGCTTGGATGTATTATTTCTGTTTCACTGCTTTTCCTTTATACAACACATACTTTGTACTACTTTCTCAAAGAACTAGAATTGTTTAAAACCCAGTATTAAGCCAAAACAATGGTCCTTTCTAAAAATTAATGGAATAATCCCCAGTCAGACCTTGTAGCTGTGATGGAAGAGAAAACCTGTGTTAGTCACAGATCAAAGCGAAAGAAAATAAAAAGTCACTGCTGATTTTCAACTTGCAGGGACGTACAGTACACTTGCTAAAAGATTAAGCTGAATTCAGAACAGCTACTCCATACTTAACTTTTTCATCTAGGAACTTTGAGAAAAAAAGCTGCAGCAGCTCCCTTTTTACAAGCAAGAAGGAGTCCCATTCTAGACATACAATTACACTGCCAGCTGTCTGATCGATTGGAGACAAAGGCTGAGAGGTTAGGGCAGTCAAAAGATTGTTAACTGGCCATTTTATTCAGGCATTTATATCATTGTTTATGGTACAACGGTCTCTTTGAATGCAGACGTCCCTGCACACCTGTGCACAGCTTGTGCTGCCATAAGCTGAAGTTGAAATATTTCCATGTCCACATAGCAGCAAACTGTGCTTCTCCTCACACCCCACGGCGTCAAAATACGGAATATGACAGCAGAGCTTTGTACCCAGGGAAAGAACAGTGCTCCTGAAGCACATTTATTGCACGAAAAAGAACTCAATTTTTCTTCAATCTAGAAAAATATCCAGAGTGCCCCGTGTTGCTCCACTACTATACAATCTGTGTAATTTTAGCTATAAGTACCTCACATTAACTCACAAACTGTGGTTAGGTGCACTGAAAACCCAAAGAAACCTGCTCCACAAAAAGTCAAAGAAAAAGAACAAAGAACATTTCGGAACAAAGCACCGAGACAGAAGGGCGTTTGGGTCAAAATGTTCTATGATCTAATTACTACACAAATTAAATTTTTATAACAAGAAAAATACTTCATCGAAATTCTTTGTCATCTAACAAGGAACAAGATTTGTTCTGGGCAAGATTACACAGTATGACCCAGTCTCCTCTTCAATATAGCTTCACAGTGCTCCCTCTAGCTTTCACTAGCGAATTGTGCATGTGTTTTATAATCCTTTCCCTCCTGTAATGAGCTTTTTTTACATTAAACATTCACCCTGACGGGGGACAACAATTGAACAGATGCATCCCAAAGTCTTAATCCGTACACAGGTATGAAGGGCATTACTGAAAGCCTCCTTACTTCTTTGAACATTTTCAGAAATTATTGTCACTGAATGAACTTTTCCATCACACCAGGCTACTGCACACAGGATTGACTCTTGATTTTCAGTGTTGTCAAAAACATTGTTTCTAATTCTTGTGTAGGAAAGTTCTGTAAACTACATTTCTAACCAAATTAAGACTGAAAATAGGTTATGTCATCAATATTTTGTGCAATGTAATTTAGGAAAATTAAAAACTAGAATTTGTCATTTTGTCGTTAAAACGTTTGGCTGAGGCCTCTAAATTAAATATGGCTTAAAGCCCAAGAGCAGATGCTGATTTCTGTACATTTTTTCATTTCTGTTTACAAGAAAGAAGGCTGTAATTTAAAGAAACCCAATATAATATGTTAGTTAACCTTTGTGGGTTTCCTGACACCTATTACTGATTCGGACAAAAACTGTTATTTTTATTAAATACAGTTATAACATATTAAGCACACTGACAGAGGATAAATTGGTATTGAACTGGTATATTTATTTCATACATTGAAAACATCTCACAAAAAAGAAAATATATCATAAGCAGTATTAGACAACCACAGCAATATTCCTGTACCAATTACCAAATTTACCATAATAGTAAATACAATAATGAAAAAACATGAGGATGGTTCATATGAAGTTGTACAAATAGCATCTGAGATTCTTTCAAATCTATGTTAAGATACTGTAACTGTAACTGCATCGCAAATTCACAAATCCCAAACATAAAAATGTTATTCAACAAAATCACTTTGAAACCCAAGTAATCTCAGAGACAATACATCTTGTTTCAGTAAACCTGGGTGTTCACAAGAAAATTATAAGTACACCTGAAAAAAGTGTACTTATAAATTGATAAATTTAAATTATAAATTGATAAATTACAATCATACTGAAGTTTAAGTTATACAAAAGAGGTTATTTTTACTTTTCCTTGCTGGAATGAGTATCTTCATGTTTGTGGCAGAATAATGCTGTTAGTAGCAGATTACGTACTTATTTAATAAACATTACTATGAGAATTACATAGGAAGTTTGAATCCATATTGAGTAGAGTGGACATAACATACTAGTAATGTGATGTAATAACAACTTTCACAAACAGATTATTGACTTCAAGGAAAGAGAAGGTAATGTCTTCTACACGTATGAAGATTACAAATTACATTATACTCACTGAACTCTGGTGTTTATTATAAAAAGACCATTGACCTTCCACAGACTACCATAAACCTTCTCAGAATCACTGCGACAGTCACACACAAGATGAACTGATGTGGGTACAGCAGTGCATCATGTCAGCCATTCTGAAGATAAACTAAGAGATTCAGGTTTAAATTAAAAACACTTATTCAAATAGCACAGTGTAACATCAGACATATAAGAACCTCACAACCTCTCACACACACACACACACATTTTCTGGTTCCGATTCATTTCTTTCTGAGAGTCAGCCAACCATACAGACGTTTCCTGAACATCCTTTGTCAGACCATTTGTGCTCTCCTGTCTGTGCCACTATTTTCCTGGACCTGCTTGGCAACCTGTAGTTCAGACAGACATCTGCTACCCTTGACCTCAAAATGCAGAGCTGAAAATAATGCTCAGCTACTCCCAAATTTCACTTTTCTGAAGTTCATCATCTCCAAGTGAAAGGTTGCTTCACGAACGCATTGGAACAGAAAACGTTTAAATCAGGCAAATCCCTGGAAAGTCCCTTGCATAAAGGTTTCAGAAGATTCTGCAGTACAAGCTACAACAAACAAACAGTGAAATATTTGCAATAGTACAGAGTTCATATTCTACTCCCCTTAACATTCTGAAATTTTAATATACAGTATAACACTCTCTTTTCTTTTGCCTGGGCCACTAAAAGTGTGGGAATAAAAAATCTCCCTGATTGATTATGACTTTGTTTTATTATGAACTATTACTTCTCAGAAAATAAAAAAACAATCTACAACAATGTCTCAAGCTCTTACGTGCACAGAGACAGGACACCTGGAAATCAACAGCATCTGAATGGATATTTTTAATTCAGTTCATTTCAGTTTTTGTTAGCTTTTGACAAAATGTATTAATTAGTACTTTCACTTTCTCACAGCTGTACCTCAATATCCTCGCTAGTCTTTTAGCTGTAAATAAAGATCAATCTCCTAGGTACGATAAGGTTCTCTGCATGATAACACACTGAACAAAAGAAGACTCCTGTTGAAGTCATTTACTTGTTAGCACAACCCTGACAAAAGACTTATAATTAGGCAGTGTTGGGAGAAAACTTAAAAGGCTGAGTGATAGAAATACTTCTTCACTGGCTTTTCAATATGTTTTCCACTGAAAAATCGCAAAGCACTGGTTAACTTTTACCTTACACAATGCTCTATTTCGATTCATGTTCTATCCATGTTTCTATCCACGAGGCGTTCTGAGTCGAATCTGTATAATCTAATTTCTTCAGAGTAATAGTGATCAATCACCTCAAGGAATATTTCAAAAATGCAATGCACTCACACTCATAGGATTAAAGTTAATCATGGGTTTTGTGTACATCCTGATAACATCTGCTTCCGAAGGCTTGTTTTCTGCTTGAGACAGCTGATTTTATGGACGAAAATTAAGCACTCAGTGTGATTGTTCGTGGAGCGATGAAAGGGCACATTTGAGAATCGACAGTCCAGTGGTAGGGCATACTTGGTTTCCTATATGTCGCACACTGGGTCAGTAAGCAGTGAGGAAAGCTCAGAGCTGAGGTTAGGGTTGCAACTAAAGCTGGAGTCAAGACTAGAGCAGGGCTAGGACTACAGTCAGGCATTTAACTTTGGCTTGGGAGAGGATGGAATAATTTGGCTTTGGAGGAAGGTTGGAGTATAACTAGGTTTCTTTTCATGACTGAGTTGTTTGGAGGGCTGGGAGTCTGGCTGCTTAATTCTAAGGAAGTAGAATTAAGGTCTGGCATTCAGCTGGGCTTCAACCTCTTTCTGTGCTGAACAAAAGGGATATTACCCTTATTTCCATCCCACCCTCCATCCATCCATGTTCAGACCCCTTTATCCAATTCAGGGTCGCAGGGGAGCTGGAGCCTATCCCAGCATGCAATGGGTGCAAGGCAGGGTACACCCTGGACAGGACGCCAGTCCAACACAGGGCAGACACAGAAACAAACACACACACAATCACACACACACACACACACACACACACACACACACACACACCAGGTCCAGTTTCCCCAGAAGCCAATTAACCCATCAGCATGTCTTTGGACTGTGGGAGGAAACCTGGAGGAAACTCAGGGAGAACATACAAACCCCACGCAGAGAGCACCCCCGAGACTCAAGATGGGGCTCTGCTGATGCAAGACAGCATTGCTAACCTCTGTGCCAGTCTGCCACCCTCAGATATTTCCTCTGAATGCAAAAATGCTCTATTTCACCCTAATGGAGTTGAAAATGTGGATACAGCAATGATTCAACAGCATCCATAGTTTTCAAACATGTTAGAAACAAATGTAAAAAATGTTGAAATTCAAAAAGTTATCAAGGGAAAAATCAAAGGATTTTTTAACAACAATTAGTACCCCTTTTTGTTTTGTTTTTTAATAAAATGAATCATGTATAAATATAAGCAATAATGATATAGTTCAAAATACAAAGATAAGAAAGACCTATGTGAGTAACAAAGAAGTCAGTGAGCAACAGCATCCCATGATGTGTCTTGAAACGAGCAGATCTGTACTGATGAGGAAATGATATTCAAGCAGGAGGCGGGCGGACTAGCTGCCATCGCACTGGAGTAAAACCATCGGCGAACCTAGAATTACAGAGGGGAGACCGGGACAGGGTATTAACCAGAATAGATTATATTTTAATACATAAAGTACACCTTAACACGTTTTTACATTCTGCTTTATTTAAAAAAAAACACCTTTACATATTGTTTGTAGTAATAAAGGTTTTGAATGAATTACCGTTTATCAAAACCTCTCCTCCAAAATGTGAAAATACATATCTGACTTTTTTCTTGTTATTTTTCCCCCCCAACTGAATTTTAACTAGGTTACTATGTTAATATACAGTACACGAAAATAAAATTCGCTCTTCATAGGTAAAACTAACCTGACTCTCTGGATGAGAGTTTTTGCCATCTTACTGTCTGATGACAACCAGTTCCTAATGTCAGCTAAATCTTTAGATTACCATATTTCTGACCACTCTGCACCTCGGAAACCTTTTGTCAGGAATTTACAACTGAGAAATTACTACAGGACAATTATTCAGGTTGACTGGAAGTACCTACCCCCGGGAGAGATTCTACATCTGTTAAGTAATAATGAAACAGCACTTCTCACCCAGTAGGAAAAGTGTGCAAATGTGTGCAAATACAAAGTGCTTAAAAACCAGAACACCGAGGCTAGTTTCATAATCTCACCAGTACCATGTGATGAAAATGATATCTTCATTTGAAAATATATATCAAAATGTGTTTAAATCAAGACGTTTAACCATGGACACCGTTTGTTTTTATAACAAGTCAATTTCATAATTATAGTAAAACAACAGATGACTACGGCAATCGTTGAATACGTAAGAATGTTTTTTTTTACACGTAAACAACCGTTCATATTGAAATAAAACTGATTTTTATCTTAAATCTACTGCCAGGATAAATCCTTATTTTACCCGACAGACTATAAAAAGACGTGTCCGAGCACAATACCTGTTGAACTTTAAGAATGGTTAACTTTACATCTCCAAAAGGTTCACAGAAACTTAGTTTCATCCATTAATTTAGTATTGTGTGGGCAAAGATAGCAAATTACAAGTATCTATCCTCAATACTTCGTTAGATTGCAGTAAATGGTCCTATCAGCTTTGTATTGTGTTTACTTCTGAAATCAATAGTTCCCCTTATTATAAACGTTACAAAATCCACTCAGATCACGGTATAATAGCCGAAGAAAATGGTGAAAGGGGAATTAAAATTATTTCATTCTGCGACATAATCTCTACCTTATTGCTTCTGATTTCTTCCTTAATAAACCAACTCGGAGCCTCACAGAGAATGAACAATATGCGTCTTTCTTTCCCCGCACTCTGTGATGGCAAGAAACTTCAGACACTACTTTTTTTCTTTTTCCCATAATCAATATCTAAAATCTAAAAAAAAAAAAGGTTTTATTAATTTAAAAGCAAGTACCTCAACCATATTAAAGTTAGAGGGTTGGTAAGTCCCCTATGAACAGTAAAGATTCTCGAAAGGTCCTCTCCGAACCTCGGTATCCAGTTCTTCAATTCTGTTTTAAGCCGGAGCACTTTCTTCCTTAAAGAAAGGAGATTGAATCTAGAAAGAACAGAGCTGACACCGGAACGTGATGCAGTAGTTAAACAAACGATGAAGGCATAGTGCTTTAAAAACAGCATGTATAACGCACCCGACCGTATGTAAAGCTTAGTACCTCGGTTATTATTATTATTATTATTATTATTATTATTATTATTATTATTATTATTATTTTAGCGCGTGCATATATGTAGCAACGGCACTGTCATGGAAAACAAAATCATAACTCTTCACTGCAATCGCAGAGAAAGCCTCGACACCCATTATTTTTAAACACTCAATCACAAATTCCTTCCGTTGAAAGCATGTTGTTTATGACAGTGATTTTACTTCTTGGTGTGAACTTTTCGAATTGTATGTTTTATTTGAAAAGCCCACATGCCACCAGCTTAGAGTAGCCGGGACCACGGACGGAGCAGCGGGTGTCTTGCAGAGCCTGCCAGCTGAGTTGCAAATCTAAGAAAGTCCAGGTAACCCATTTATTTCTTGGTTTACCCGTATTCGCTGAAAGTCGGTAAGCAGGCTGCCCGTTGCCGCTCTGTGTGACCGTCAGTGCACCGCGCGTCTCTGCGCAGAGCCTGTTAGCCGCGGCGCTCTCCTGCGCGTAAGGTACTGTGTGCTGGACATGTTTCCGTTCCATAATAAATACATTTCGAACAAAAGACATGTACATCCCATAAAATGCTGCTTTACTGCCAAGTACACAATGATGGGGGGGCGGGGGGGGGATAATTTAAACTAAACTGAGGTGTTGAGCCCTGTTAATTTACGCCAGTTATCAGAATATCAAACTTTTCTTTACGTTGACTGAAATCTTTACGGGCGTCTTCTGCCTGTTATAAATATACAGGCTAGGAAATCCGTTTCGTTCTCAAGACAAGTCATTTTTGATTACTTTACTGTCGGAGGTGAGAGAGCTCATTATTTATATCATTCCTTTTCGGATTTATATTTTCTCCGATGTGTACATCCTAATAACAAGTCCATCTTAGTTTGCTGTATTCGATGATGTTGGATTCGGTGAGTTTATTTTTTACAATTTGGTCAATCGGGCTTTTAAAATACATTTAAAACTTCTTGGTAGAGATAGCCCAATACGTTTTAAAATGGGCCATGAATTTTGCCCGCTTGGCACGCCTGAAAATCCACGCGTACTTCTCCTGATTGAAATACCGATGACAGTATATTCTGCGGAATTTTGTTTTCGGTACATTTTCATATTAAGCGTGTGTGCTTAAAACGCATCGTGTATTTATTTCCACAGTTAGTGTGCATGTCTGTGATTTTTCGACGGCATTACGTTTACACAAACCAACCAAAAAGTATTACCTTGATTAATATTTCAAAAAGACCGTGCTTTGAGTGAAACTGAGCTACAAAGGGTTAATGCGTCTCTAAACAAATCAGTGTTTTCTTTAAATGCGTGCCTGGACATCGATGTACTCTATCATATAAGGTTTTGCTTTACAGTACGAGGTGTTATTTCCTGATAAAGAAACACCGGGTCTCGCTTTCCATTCTTCGTGGAAAATTATTCGCATTATTTATGCTACATTGAACGATCTAATTTCTTCGTGATAGTCGGCTAATTGCTCTGGCAGGTAATTAGAAGCAGTTTACGTCGCAGAGGGCTTTCACAAGTGCCCTTCGGATTATTGAGTTGCTTTGTAAATTACCATATTTGCAAAAAAAAAATCAAATCTTCTGGAGCCATTTCCCGGTGTATGGAGTTCAGTTCTTTTTTCTTTTCTGTGAGCAGAATTATTCGAAAGCACGCGATATTAAACACATTTTGTTCGTGCTCAGTGGTCCAGAATAACGCGGTCATTATAGCAACGAATGGGACAGGTTTTAAGCTTGATTTCATGATGGCAATATACACCATGGTTGTGGGAAAAGAATGCTTTAAATGGGGACATCTGTTCTGTATGGCTTATGCAGATCTTACAGTTAGATCAGACTTAGAGAAACAACCTGTACATTACCTTTGAACTTTGAACACTCGGCACTGACGGAGGTTATCTGCAGGGTAGCACACCTCCAAGAACTGGGTTTTAACATCCATCCATCAATCAATTAATAAATCAATCAACGTTTAAGAGATTGTACAAGCACGCACTGATTCGACTGCCATGTCTACAATTAAATGTGTAAAAATAAGGCTTCTGACATCTGAACTTCCACTTGTAATCCCTTATAAAAACTACATTGTGTTGATATTTCAACATCTAGATTTCTTAAACCTGGCTTTGCGGGCGCTGCTTTCTATGTGGTGCGGGAACATCACCTCATTTTAGCGAGAGAAAAAGTTCAGAAGAACTGTCTACAAAGATCCAGGAGTGTTAGTTGTTGTACAGACCATCAGCGTTACAGGATCATAGACGCCTGTGAGGGCTCTTGGCATACACGTTGTCTTTAGGTAAATAGCCTCTTGCTCGCATTTCCCCTGTTCGTGAAAGCTTGTTTAAAGGGCTTGAACACGCGTTTTGATTACACCACTGGTGCCCGAGCTGCTCCTAGATTATTCGTAATTAAACACAATTCCCAAAGTAACATTTATCTTCCAGGGCTGCTATTGCAACTGTCAGTCGTCTGGTGGAGACGCTGGGCAATCGACTTGCATTGCCTTTGGCTTCTAAGCGGACGTAAGATACTTAATCAATAAACGTTGAGGTGCGACACCCCGTCTGTGTCTTGAAACCTATAGCAACGGTAATATCTCAAACTATTCGGCTTGCACAGTCGTACCAGAACTGCAACTGATGTTGAAGTAGTACTGGGGCACATATAATGTGCAATGTGTTCTTCCCTCAATGAAACCCTGAAGCTGTCCTGCGATTCCTTATGTCTATTATTATTATTATTATTATTATTATTATTATTATTATTATTATTATTATTACTGATTATATAAAGGAGCGGTATGGGGTTAAGGGTGATGTGTCTACAGACGAGAAAATACATGTATTTCTGAGGTTTACGGCCTGTAAAAAGTTTCAGTAAAGTAAGCGAATGGATTCTGCAAATCTAACCCCAAAATATGATATGTGCGGTATAGTAAAAATCCAGTGAAATAGTCATCACATTTTATTTCATTTCCTTGGCATATCCTAGTCATAACGTGCGGAGGCCAGTCTTCAAAGGCACCTGTTACAGAAAGAGCTGGGTCAAACCGGCCATCGTAAAACGCACTGAAACAGTCGTAGAACGCCCTCATCTTCACGTGACTTCCTTACACGTTTAAAGTTAAGATTTTGAGGTTTTTAATCCATTAAACCCAGTATTTTAAACTGAAGAAATTCTGAGAATTCTGTTTAATTAATAGGTATACGTCATCTATCGAATGTCACACGGGAGAATAAAGTTAACTATATATAGTACAACCATTCTCATTTATAAAAGAAATGGCATATTATTTAACTCATTTTATTTAATAACGCACCGTGACCGAACTGCGTTCTTGTATCCGCTTTAGGGTTAGTAATTTGCTCAGTGGTACAAGAGCTACTCTCGATTTTGTTTTTTATTTGGCCAAACCTCTGGTTGATCCCTGGATGTAAATTACATCCAAAAAGCTGTTGTCCAAATCGAAGAAACAGAGAAATTAATCTGGGTGACTATCCATCATAGTGTGTAATAAAGGCAGCGACATGGATGAGACAGATGATATGATTAAGAAGCTGTGGTCGTTTTAATTAACTTTTTGCTGTCCTGTAATGATCAAACTGGTCAACAGACCCGGTCAATAAGCATGTTAATATCAAACAAATAAAACTGTGGATGATTAAAAACCTCCTGGTTTATTAAATTTGAAATTCAAATGAAATGTATGCCGTTCGTCCCCACAGCATGCTAATGCAGTAGAGCTCGGAACTGAAGCCAGAGTCCAGCTAACAACATAAGTCTGAGGCCTAAGCTGGCGCCCGGACACAAGCACACGAATTCTGTTTATTAATTTATTTAAATTATTGCATATAAAATAATTTTCGGCACTCATACACTGATGCAGGAAGGCCAATCACTAGCGATAAACATGAACAGCTGTCCCATGTAACACACACTAAGGCCTGAAAAATGTTAGGTGATATGTTACATGCGCTCGTTTGACGCGCTGTATAGTTTTGAATCACATATATAAATCTTTAAAACCACTTCCGCAATTAACACTACCGTAAGGTTCATATGTTGTAACGGAGGCTCGGTAGTTTACCTTAATTAAAAAAAAAACGAAACAAAGAACAATTCGAAGGAAAAATCGCGCGTCTTTGAATGCCCCCTTTTTTTTACAGAAGCGGTTTAATCAGTTTACACGCGACAAAAAAAGCACGTGTTGTAGACTGCTGTACTGTGTGAAATTGGAGCAGTTAATTTTCGTAGCCTTTCAGTAAAAACAAAACAAAAAACCCCAAGAAAAATTTAAAGCAGTTAAGAGTGCACAGTCTGTGTTAAAGTGTTCGAAAACAATCATGCGCTGGTAACTAGTCTGCTTTTGTATATTATTTAGAGCCTACATACACATTTTCTGTTGTCTAACTCTCATAGTGGTAGAATATAATAAAATAAGCCGCTGTGTTATTTTTAACTCTGTCAAAACCGAATTACCAGTGGACAATGTACTGCGGGTATACAATTACCCTCACAATACCTCGCGAAGAAAACAGCAGAACGATTAGAACAAAATGATAGTCATTAGATTTCCCGGAGAAAAAAGAAATCGACCGACAGACATGCTACAGCTACGCACGGAGATTTCGGTAGTGTACAATCTGCAGTCCGACCAAGCGCAAATTTGTTTCCAAAATAATAACATAAAATAAAAACCAAAACAGAATGGATAACTGTTGGTGCGCACATCTGGAAGAGGAACGCAGCACAGGTTAGCGCCGCTAAAGCAAACTCCGGGTTAAATGTATACTACCTAAAACAAACATGCACATTTTGCATGAATAAAATTAAAGGAGAGGGGCTAACGCGATGAAGTTAATTCTTTTTTATGTGTTAAGCGGTATCCCTCCCTCTCCCCACCCGGTCCTCCTCCGGGGCAGTCCGGCCACGCCTTCTCAACATGCCACACTCGTCCCCAACAGCGAGGTCCGACAAACACGGCGCTGATCTCCCAAAGAGCCCCCTCCTTCACAAAGTTTTTAAGGATATCATTAATCGTCACCCACCCCTACCGCCCCCTCCCAGGAGAAGGAGAAGGTAGCACATTACACGGAGCTCCACAGACCTCGTAAAGGCTCCGTGTGCTCTTGATGTTTATTTTGTACTAAAACGTTTACTTACCCTCGCCGGCGACACTTGAGATGGGTTTTAATTTCCTGCTCTAAAAGATCTATTTTCTGTCAAAACAAACAAAAAAAAAATCCGGGTGAGTACATGACATGTCCCTTTTAATTAGAGCTTATAGAGGCAACGCGATTGAGTACAATTACAGTGAAGGGCTCTGGAGGTAATAGTACGGTTTTTAAGTTCTAGTGAATTCAACAATGCTGCTCTTTGTTCAGCCCTGTAGCTGTTGTTTTTAATAAGTGCCTTAAAGCAAGTGACGCTACTTTTAATGTTTAAAAAATGACCCAGGCACGTACAGCCCTGGTCCGACAGGAGAAGCGAGCAGGCTGGAGGCAGAGTCAGGTCGGACCCGAGCTTGCAGCATCTCCCTGCCCTTATGGGAACGAGAGGGGGATCTGTGCGATCGATAAGGAACATGAAGGAGACACGTGACGACCTGGGAAGACGGGCAGGAATGGATCAGTTTTATTATGACTGCGCCTAGCGCGAAGCCGTACAGTCGTGGTAGCAGTAATCCCAGCACACGAGACAGACAGGTTTCCGGGAAAACTTTTGCAAGGAGCCCACGGCACGTTTCCTTAACTCTGCCTCCTTCGTGGGCTTTTATCCCGGAGGGGGGGCGGGGGGGGCGGAGGGGGAGGGGCCGGCGAAGTGCTCCGCTGATGACCTCACGCTAGACTGTGGCAGAGCGGAGGTGCCGGGACTCTGATTGGCCGCCCGTGTCCCAGCGGTACTTCAAAGCCGGAGAGGAGCTACAATTGTGGTGGAATGGGCGGAATAGATCATTGTATTGCACACCTCTAAAAAAAAACAGACCTCTGATTTATAAATATAAAAAGATCCTCTGAGGAGGGCACTTTTTTGTGATGGCAACTTCACTTCTAGGGGTGAGTCTAAGGATTTTCTTCCTGGTTTAATTAGTTCTTGTATTGTCCAGTGGAGGGATTAAAATAAGCTCGGTCAGAGAAGGGCAGCCAGTCTCTTGATTATGTTTTAAGCAAGTGGGTCTGAAGAAAGAGGCCGAGTTACTTTAAGGAGAGCGACGACACGACAGCGCATTTCCTACCAACTTCTGACTGTTGGGCTCGGGAGAGGTGACTTCTTACATGTCAAGACGTAGAACTTTATCCTGATTTTTTTTTCGTCTTATTTCTTTTTCCTTTCGTGTTTGTCGTCTTCCACAGGTATGCTGCCAGCGCGGATTTACGGTGTAATATGAAACACGCTGGCTACACCCCTACTGCAGCCGTTTTCGGGGAAATAAAACAACAACAAGTTATAAAATCCTGCAAAAAAAACGCAGCACTTAAGCCACACGTTGCTTTGTACCGGTTAAATTTATTTTTTTTAAAAAACCTTTCGAATTATATTCATGTCCATGAGATCCATGTTAGTAATTATACATATTACATCGTCCATTATTTTTATTAAAAAAAACAAAACACGCGCAAGTCTTTGCAAACGGTTGTTTAATACCTGCTTTCTTTCTAACCAGGAAGAGCCGCGGTTAGGATCGACTCCATTAGCCATGCTAGCTGCTACCTGTAATAAGATCGGAAGTCCCAGCCCTTCGCCATCCTCGATTTCGGATACTTCTTCGTCTTTTGGGAAAGGGTTTCATCCCTGGAAGCGATCCGCCGCCAGCAGCTGCAACCTGGGATCCAGCCTGTCCGGCTTTGGAGTCGCCGGCTCGTCCAGGAACGGAGCCGGGCTGCCCGACTCCTTCGGCACCAACAGCTCCACGGGATCCAGTGCCTTTTCCTTGACTTCCAGCACCGCGTCCAACTCGCCCTTCGGGAATGACTACTCCGTGTTCCAGGCGTCGGTGTCGAACAGCTCGCAGGACCCGAGCCACCAGCCGGTGTTTATTTCCAAGGTCCACACGTCCGTGGACAGCCTGCAGGGCATATACCCCCGCATGAGCGTGGCGCACCCCTACGAGTCCTGGTTCAAGCCGCCCCACGCGGGCCTGCCCGCGGGGGACGTGGGGTCCACGGGCGCTTCCGCCTGGTGGGACGTGGGGGCCGGGTGGATCGATGTCCAGAACCCCAACGGGGCGGCGCTGCAGAGCCCCTTGCACTCGGGCGGGCTGCACTCGCCCCTGGGAGGCTACAACTCCGATTACTCCGGCTTGAGCCACTCGGCGTTCAGCACCGGCGCCTCCCCGCACCTCCTGGCGACGGGTCAGCACCTGATGGACGGATTTAAGCCCGTTTTGCCGGCCTCCTACCCGGAGTCCAGCCCGTCTCCGCTAGCGGGGGCCGGCGGCACCATGCTGTCCGGCGCTCCCTCGGCCGCGCTGGCCGGCTCCCCGCGGTCGTCGGCCCGCCGGTACTCGGGCAGGGCCACCTGCGACTGCCCGAACTGCCAGGAGGCGGAGAGGCTGGGGCCGGCCGGGGCCAGCCTGAGGAGGAAGGGGCTGCACAGCTGCCACATCCCGGGCTGCGGCAAGGTGTACGGCAAAACGTCGCACCTCAAGGCGCACCTGAGGTGGCACACAGGGGAGAGACCTTTCGTGTGTAACTGGCTGTTCTGTGGGAAAAGGTTCACCCGGTCGGACGAGCTGCAGCGGCACTTGCGCACGCACACCGGGGAAAAGAGGTTCGCCTGCCCGGTCTGCAACAAGCGCTTCATGCGCAGCGACCACCTCAGCAAGCACGTTAAAACGCACAGCGCCGGAGGCGGCGGCTCCGCCGGCTCGGGGTCCGGCGGCGGCGGGGGCAAAAAGGGCAGCGATACCGACAGCGAGCACAGTACCCCCGGCAGCCCCCCGTGCCAGTCCCCGGACTTACTGCAGCCTCCGGAACCCGTCCCAGCGCCCGGCATGAACGGGCACAATAACTCTATTGAATGAGGGAAGGATCAGGACAACCCCCTCCAGAGACAGGTCGTCAACTTGTACACATGACTAGAAAAGTAAATGTATTTTCGGACAGCTTCGTGTATCTGAGAACCTCGCCACCGATTGCTAGAGAAGTCCCAGAAATGAACTCGAGTCACATCAAAAGACGCTTTGAAAAGTGATTATGTGGGTAGGTAAGGACAGCTTCGATCGTTATTATCTAAACTATATTTCGACTGCACGCCAGTTTCTTCCAAATACTGAAGGGAAAGCCATTTTGACCTGTTGTTTTGAACAAGTTTAAGCTTTCAAAAAAAAAAATCAACGTTTAGAATAAATTATATATAATTTATAATCAAAATTATTTTAAAGAGAAGGGGCTTCACCCGTGGTCCAGAGACAGAGCGATCACCTTTTAATTTAGAAACCACAACAAGCCGTACCACCTTCGCGCACATCCCGGTTTCCGAAATCAGCTCTTTGGGGAACTGTACTGTTGTCAGTACAAGCCGTAGCAATGTCACGAAAACAAACAAACAAACAAACAATAGTGTCCTTATCTACCTTTCGCTTCATCTGTAGCATAAGTGATCCATATTTGTTTTGAGGAACCTGTGTAAGACGTACTATACATGTACTTTTCCCAAATTGGGCGCCTTTTTTATTCCACTTTGTGTTAAAGCCCTGCCACGTTTTCTTCAGAGCTGTAACCATAGTGAACGTACATGAACTGCAAAACACTGTAAAACTGGGAAAAATGTGATAGATTAGCATATTATACAAACACCAGTGTAAAGGTGTTAAATGTATTTGTCCAGGAGACGAGTTTTGTATATTATTTTCTTGTAAATTGCCTCGAGTAAATATCTGAAAATATATTGGAGTAAATTTTCAAGTTTGTCAAGAAAAAAGAAATATATAAAAACTTTGCTGTGGCAGTTCTGTTTATCCACAAGTCGGACTTGTGTCTTGAGGTCTATTAAAATGCACTTCGAGTTTTTCTTTAGGTTTTGAAGAAAAATCAGAGAAGCAAAATGTCTTTGATCAATGTTGAATCATATTTTTATTTAGCAGAGCATGTACCTACTTACTTGAATATGCCGACCGGTTCAGCAGTCTCAGTTCGCTTCTATTCCGCAACAGACTGGCTTTTTAACGTGAGGCCTCGTAATAAAGTCAGAATGGTTTCAAATCTGCCGCCTGAGTTTGTCTTTAAATGCAAGCTGCATGACCAAACACCCTGTAACTCTGTATAAATTGTAAGGTTTGAGCAATTGCCAGTTTTATATTAATAACTCACACACAAAACTACCTGTTAAAAGGCCCAATCAAACCATCTAAAGCTGGAATGACTATGTAGTGAGTTTTATTTCCACAAACCAGGCGAAAGAATTTCACAATTCTTTCTTCTGCTGGGGTTACTTGTTGTTTTATAACTTGTGATTGAATAAGACAAGTAATAATAATAATAATAATAATAATAATAATAATAATAATAATAATAATAATAATAATAATAAAACAAATCAATTTGCACAGCCTGCTTTGCACTGCAGTTGTGCAGTGACCAGGCTCTGCCCCTTCACCTCATTTCATTTTAAAAGCTGAATTGTTTTAAAAGGCTTTTACATGAAATTCAAAGGTGTCGATTCTCTTTGAAAGAATAGGAAGTTGTTTGAATATCGCTTAGTGTGGCTGTAGAATATTCAAGGAATTTGCCGTGCTCATTACAGCGGGTCGTTTAATTCTAAATTAGGCCGCTTCGAAAATAAAAGCACCTCGCAAATGAAACTGGCTTGAAGATGAGCTTTTTATTAAGATAATTCTTGACTACATACGAAGAACTTTAAAAAAAGTAGAATTAAGTCTTAGGGAAAGGTGACAGCCTATACTGTATCCTAAAAATGTAAGAAACACAAATTATTGTTTTATCCAGACGAAGTTTAATTTAAAGCAATATAGGCAGTTTTTGAGAACATACATGCTGTCGGATGTATCCAGCGTCTCAAGCTTTAAGTTATCGTTATATATTAATTTTTAAACGTTATCAAGTGAACCTACTCTACAAGCATTAACACTCAAATTGGCGTCTTTTAAAATAATCGAATTATGTTGCAATTAATAAAAAACCGTCTGTATACGATATTCGATGTAAATGTTGCCATTAAGTGCGTCGTGGTCATTCCTTGAAAAAAATAGGACAAATTTCAATTGTTAAATTAACTCTAGTCGAATGGATTGCTTAAGTATACATATCGACATTTGCAGCTCGCTTATTCCGCACGCATTAAAGTGCGGAATAAGAGATTTGGTCTTAGTTGAACTTGTCCTAAAAATCAGGCAGTAACACACAAATTTATATTTTAAAGATTAAAACTCTGAAAAAAGAAAACTAGTTACATTGGGAACAAACCGGCTGATTGTTCGACCTATCGTTGGCTTTCCTGTTTTAACGTTAAGTGCCTGTCAAAATCGCCGCAGCCCACAGGTTCATCTTATATCCCATTTTTCTCACTTAATTAACAATTTAGGAAACTTGATTATATGAGAGAGGCGCGGTTATTAATCGCTTACATCGAACATTAAAAAAATAATTCTGCGGTTTGATATAGTATTGCCCGTGAAAAGAAACGACCAGTGTAATTGGTGCATGACTATATTTATTGAAATTGTTCTATAAAATACAGACACATTTACATTCGTAATATAATAACTTAGAGAGTATGGGCAAGATATCTCCAAAGAAGACTGCATAATTGTTTTCCGACTTCTTAAAATGTTTTCTATTTTATTCGAAGCAGAGATATATTTAGAAAAATTAATATAAAAAATCGTACACAGAAAGTGATTTGTCTAAACAATTCTAAACGACAAATTGCATTTGGAATTCTTGACGAAGGTGTGCTAACGACACAATCTTTTTAAGGGTCGGATTCGTTGATCTCTTGGTAGTAAAATCGCTGCCCCTGTTAGAAAAGTGCTTTTAAACTCCTCTTTTTTAATTTAAAGCCTGTTAAATATCAGAAACAAAGGCACACAAATAAGGCGATTGGAAAAGTTTCATGATAAATATTTAGAAGTTTAATGATACTGTTGTAAGGAACTTCGTAAGAATCACAAAAAGCCTGACGCTGCACTGCTCTTCCTCGCTGGAAGTTGTGAAGAGTGCCGATAATGGCGAGATACAGAGATGGCCAAGATGTTTCTTGGGGCTGTAAATTTACGCCACTGCATACCTCAAACGGAATATATATTTAAATTTCTATGAACTTAAATTTGTTATAATAGTACCATTTATTCCTTTTATTCCGCGGTGAAGAATGCGTCTGGTAGCTCATCAATGATTCGGCTATTCGATCCAGTTTACAGCATCTTTTTTTTCTCGAAGTTCAAGTGTACTTCCGTGCCTTATGATCTTATCAGCTGCAAAAAGGGACGGACATCGAATCCTAAAGGGTTTTCTTATTAAGTTTTACCATCAATCTGAATATCGTACGTCCTAACGAGGGTTTAGAAGTGCAAGACGAGAAGAGTCTTAAATTAAACCCAAATAGTGTGTAAAATCAGTCAACATTGCCCCCGTGCGCTCATATACTGGTACCGCACTGTGTAGCTCAAGGAAAGAACCCGCAGCTTTTGTGCAAAGAAGGGAATTATCTTCGTATTCACAGGCTTTAAACAGTAAACGCTCATTTTAAATACAAATTTATGTTTATAAAGTGCACCGTAAAAATAAACTAAAAACGTGTTTATACTATTAATAATTTATTTTCATCATAATGCACCCTTTACGTCTGAAATACTTCTAGCAGAATATCCTACCGTTTTCAATAGGTGCGAAACATTTGTAAACTGAAGATGTTGTGATTCAAAATAACTCACGGTTTTAAAGTGCTCAAGTTAGTTAACTTTAGTGCAAAGCAGCATAAAGACAGTTGGAAACGAGAGGTCATTAGACCCATGTAGCTCGTATGGTTTCTAGTAACTAATTGATCTGAAGATCTCATCCAGACACTCTTTGAAAGCAGACAGGGAATGAGCTTCAATAACACGGATGATTTCCATACTCCAAAAAATCCGCCTCTTCTTCTCAGATTAAATGCACTTTCCTGTAATTTCCTCCTGTAAACTACGTTCTCTGGTACGTTTCACCGCATATTCCGAAAAAGTTCATTAGTTTGACTTTATCAATGCCTTTGAGGGTTTTAAATACTTAAAACGGTTTTGCTCATAGTATTCTCGTTTCAAGTCTAAAACGACTCTGTTCTTTTAACGTCAGCGTAGAACATTCCTTTAAAACCAGGGATGGATGTGGCTGCTCCTCCATGGACCGATTTCAGAGCAGCGTGTACATGTAACATGTACTGGTCACATGTTCACCAATATTTCTCACAGGATTATAATTGACAAACAAGTGTAAAATTTCAAGACAAAATTGACTGATTTTTAATTCTATGCTTTTAACTATATCCTAAATTGCTTTCTTATTGCTTTCCCACATTGTCCAGCCATGAAAATTATACATAAAATTTACCCTTTCCCATTAATAGCTACAGTTGAAGGTATTTCTACCTGCATGTGCTAAAAACGTGGCACTTGTCTACATTAAACAATCTTCCAAGTGTCTTCCCAGTCTTTAATTTTTTCAAAATATTGTTTTATTTTGCAGCTTTTGCCATATTTGTTAATCTTCCTAATTTGGTACCATCTGCAAACTTAATTAGTTTACTAGTTGGACCTGAGTCTAGATTATTAATATGAAATTGGAATTGGGTCTGATCCTAATACTAACCCAGTGACAAATAACAACATTGTTTTTTTGTAACAAAATTTGCAAAAACAAAACTGCACGTATTGCATCACCCCAGTCTGAGAGTCTACTCTCTGTTTTCTATCCATCAGCTATTTCTCAGTTCAAGCACAGACACTTTCCCTTGAATGCCTAACGTCTGCAATTTTAAAAATTGATCCTTTTTGAGAAGGCTAATGAAAAAAAATACTTTTTACATATTCCTACATCAAGTCTTTCCTAAATGTCCCCAGAACACACAAAATTCACTATTTTAGTTCTATAACTAAACACATAAGAGACATACAGCAATATTTGGTTCAGTTTCGATGCTCTTTCTTATGGATGGACACTCCATTAGCAATTTTCCAGTTGGAGGGTTCTGTTCGGAGAGTTTTGTTAATGACCTATGAATAACATCTAATTTCTTTAAGTACACTGTTAGAAAACCGTAATCATACCCTGGAGATTTGTTTAACTTAAGTGCTTTAAGTATCTGCACCACTTTTGCATCTTCTACAAAAATATGATTTAATACAGAACTCTTTCCTTCCTCAGACAGATGCATGTAGTTGATTATATCTGACTAAAATAATTATTTAACCCATCAGCTATTCCTGTTTCATCATTTAAAAGGTTCCCAATGCTATGCTGGCAATAATTTACTTCACTACTTTGTTTTTGCTGTTTTAATAATTTAAAAAATAATACTTTTTCTTGATCTCTTCTCGTTTCTAATATCATTTTTACCTGTGCTTACAATGCATTATTTTTCTTTATTTAACAGAATCCTGTTAGTTTTCTTTTTTAAAAAATGTATAGAGGGTTCTCTTCCTTACTTGAGCTAAATCTGTTCTGTGCTGTAAACTGTCACCATCCATCCCCACTGAATCCAAACCCAAAGTGTCCCATTCCACTGCCTCAGTCCTCCAAACTCTGTACTCTGCCTGTACAGTGTCACAGTGTGATTGAATGTACGTCGTATTTAGAGTCACATTTTCTAATGGTTCATTCCCCTGTTTGGCTCTGGCCAGATCAGCACAGGCTTTCTGACAAACACAGTCAGGTGGGAGGCGGTTGTTAGCCATGTCTACCATTTGAGTCTCACAAAGTTCACACCCCTGGTGATGCAGCGGAGCTCGTCCGGACACGGTGACGTCATCGCTCTCCCTGCGTGTAGCAGGGGCCTCAGCCGCCCGGGCTGGGGGGAGGTCTCCTTTAGCTCACTCGGCTGGTTTCCCGCCGTGTCATGCCAGAGACCTGGGTTCGTGCCCCAGGTGTTGCGGCATGAGCCCGCCTCACAGTGCGTTTTCTAATTCATTTGAAGAAAGTTGAAATCTCCTGTGAGAACACCTTCCTGCAGAGCGTTGAATGCCAAAGTCTACATCTGGTGGTGCCACACTCTGCCTTTCCAATGTTTCTCTAGGCCTGAGCCATACAGATTGCGAGACCCATAACTGGCAGAAGAGGCTTACCCTGCATGCAGCACACACAAATAGGAGCAGTCGTCTGCTTTCTAGCGCTTTTATACAAAACCTCAATGTTAAAATTCCAAACTTCATATCTCTAATAACACTAATAACACACACAACAAAACAAGTAGTTACTTCCATAAACACCTTAGATAATAGTTACACTTGTGCCATGAATGCTGCTGTGGCAGGGTCTGTGAGACAACTGGAAGACAACGCTTGCATGTCGTCTGCAAAGCATCTGCTGCCCTGGTCTGCAGAAGCGCAGTGCGTTCTCGAGCTGGAATTAATCATGACCAGGAAATGGATCTCACGGGATGTTCCTGCTGGAGTTAGACTCGTGCTCAAAGTCGATCATGTCGAAATACCGCCTGAGACACAGCAAAACTTTGCTGACCTGAATACAGGGCCATCCCAGCAACGCATAGGCAGTGCCAGATGGGCCACTATCTTTCACAGGCAGGCGGTAAAGGCAGGAAACTGTGAGCAAAACCAAGATACAAAACCCAATTCCATACACTGTAGGAAACAGGAGATTTCTTATAGTGATATAGATATAACTAGATAAGTCACAAAACCTCCAGAATCTTCCGGCCTTGAAGTATCAAACAGAAGTCTGACTAAATCACGCTTTGCACTGGGGAATGACAAGGTATCCTAACTTTAACACGGGCAGGCCCTTCAGCAGAAACCCACTATCCTGAACAGGTGCAGGCTCTCCTTCATCAATGCCGGAGAAAATGTCCCAGTAAACCTGCTTCTCAGGAGTCTCCCACAAGGACTTCATGCCAGGCATGGCCTGAGAACCTCAGCCCTGGTCTGCTTATCTCACCTCCACTTTCCTGAAGAAGGATGAAGGTGGGACCGCATGGCCGTATATCCATGCACACATTGCCAGTGCTCTGGACATCTTCACCCAGTCTCTGTAATATCACAGATAACCACGTGCAATTCTACACTCAACTTTACAACAGTAATCTGAAGCAGAGGCAAAATGCTTTTATTACTGCATGCCCATGCTTTTTTCAAACCAATTATTTGACTGCAAGGTAAGACCAGATTCTGGTTGTGTGCGTTTGTGATTGCTCTGTTACAATTAGAAAAGGGTCAAGTAAGATCTGTTTTTTTCTAGCTGAAAGGAAGATGTTGTGACAAGTACAAGAAATGTTATCTTTTAGGTTCATTTAAAATGAGCGTGAACAAAATTCCAGCTTATTTAATTAAATACTTAATGCATCACGAATTCAGAATGGCAGTCAGAGAACGCAAATCAAGGACTGAGAAGTCAGATTGGATTTTGACAATAAATCAATCTCCACTGAGACCCTCGTCCCAAAATAACCCTACGGACTGTCAAAAGTATTTTACAGTACAACCCTTTCACAATACAGGTTGCCTTTATCTTTTACTTTAGAGATGTGTCTTACTCATATGCACTTACACAACAAGATGGCTCCTTAATTGCTAGGCTAACCGCTATGCTGACAGGCAGAAAACAAAGACATCTTCACATCTTTAAATAGAGCAAGTTCAGCTCTGCTGTAAACATGCCAAGCTTCTGACATTCCCTGTCTACGCTGGGGAAGCAGATAATCAAGGCCCTTTTGTTAGACAGCCACTGCTCCATGCTAAACAGGAAGAGTGCTTGTGCACATGTTCTCAAGACAGAGGTTCATAAGCCAAAAACACTTTGGCTTAAAATATGTCGCACATCAAAAAAGTGAACATTACAGACAGAATTAAATCAGACCCATCAAGCAAGATGTGGATATAATGTTTTTAGTTGTGAAATACTTTCATATTGTGTTTCATATTATTTTAATAAATCAGATTACTTTCTGAACCCATTCCATTACTTACAGACTAATGTATACATTTAAGATCATCAGTATGTATGATGATACATGTGAATAGATGTTTTATTTAATTGTTTAGAACAAAATTTACATTTAGAACACAGGGTACTGCTTCACCCATCTGACACATTTGGTTTTTAGTAACTATTTGATCCGGGGTCTCGGCAGACTCTGTTTCCTGAAAGTAGTCAGGCTATCAGTTTGAATACATTCGTATAAAGAAGTAGACATGTTATCAATACACACATAAATAGAGCTCTGTCTGAACAATTTCTGCAGGCAGTTTTGTAGTCAATAAGCATCCCCAGTTTTGCAGTAAAACGTCAGTAAAATCTGTAATCCAACTCCCAAAATTAATTTTGGTTTCTAAAATCTTCCTTCTTTGCAACCAATAAGTATTATACCAAATACTTATTGTATTATACAATAAGTATTATACAAAAGTAACAACCGAAGGAGCAATAACAGACAGCACCCCGAGCTGTCTGTAGAATGAGAACCTGAATTATAATCGGGGAAAAACGGCGGCCAGAAAGCAAGTGAGGCGTGGTGGGGACCCGTGACAGTCCCGGGCTCTTTGTGAAGACTAGCCTTTGCCCATTCACCATCTACCCAGAGGGACGCACAGCGCCTCTTTGGCCATGTCAATCATGAGACCCTCAAGAGCCAGAGAACAGTCTGAGTCGAGACAGGGCAAGACTCACGTCTGTTTTGACTTGAGAAGGCCACGAAATAAACTTTAGTAGCATACTTTAGTAGCCAGTGCTCGTATGGAGACTGGGGACACCAGTGGAAACAGCACAAGTGCCATTCAAAAGAAATTGGAGGACTGTGGCAATAAATCTAATGTTCTCAACAGACAAGTGTATGGAAATGCAAAACTAACTTCACAACCAGGTTCCCAGATAAGGTCCTAGGGAAGCCCTGTGTCTTCTGGATTTTGCAATCCACTGGCTAATTTAAATCGGGGGTAAACTGATTGAAATTTTCAGTCGGAGGCATTTCTTCGTATCTGCTTTCGGCTCTTAAAATTTTTGAATTTTGATTTGGCCATTGGCATCACTCCTGTCTCACTTTTCAGAAGCGCTACATTCAGGTGTGCTGGCTAAAGGGTGACCCACTGCACCCCTGCAGAAGGAAAAAAACACTGACTGTGGGCAAGTCTCTCACCTGTGTCCGTTCATCAGAAACTGATCTGTTAAGAGCTGTTTAGTCAGAATAAGTGTACGCAGGTGGAGCAGAGGCTGAGTGGAGATCTGTATGCTCAAGCCGCAGGACAGTAGCCTTAAACTTTTAGTTAAACTGGGGATTTGTGAGCCTAGAGACTGAGAATGTAAACAAGCAAACTAGAAAGTCAAAGCGTGTTTATGTACTGTACCTTCCTTATGTGCCTTACAGTTCACAGTGTCTCACGCTCACTCTTCCTGAGTCATAAACTTGCCAGCAACCATATCACCCTGCAACTCACACTGGCAGCCCAGATAAGCTCAGCAGGTGTGAAGAGGTGTTAGTTGGGTCAGTAGGGGGTGCTCACCCTGCAGCCTAATGCAGGACTAATGTCCCAGTACAGTGATGGGGACACTATATGTCTCAACTGACTATAATACCTTCTGGCACGTTTGTGGTGTATCTCTCACAAAATCTGCAAGGAGTCTTTTTCAGCGAAGGCATCTTTATTGCCTCTCAAACAGTACATAAAGGCCAGATTTGTTTAAGGTACAAGATGTATGAACACTGCGTCCCATCGCAGACACAGACCTGCGCAAAACTCCTCCCAGTGGACATCCCAGTGCAAGCACCAGTGGACATCCCCGTGCAGACTCCTGTTGGTGCTGCCCAGGGTGCAAGGATGCCTGATCAAAGTCCTGTCTGGGGGGTACGATGTACTTTTCAATTCTTAATGACCAAGCCCTCTGTACTCAAAGGGATAAGTAACCTTCTCAAGATTTGTGCCATTTCTACCACTTTACTCCTAATTTATTTCCAAAGCTCCTTGGTTTTCATGATCGATTTGTCACATCGCTATGCAAGCTTAAAGTTCTCACTGAACTCATGAAGAACTCACGGAGAAGCCGCACGTTTCATTTATTGCACTCGGACACAGATCATTACCCTGACGTTTTGACCTTTGAAACTATTCTTCTGAACCTTACGTTATGAGGGTTGTCATAACAAAGGGGATGAATAATTATGCAATGGACAATCTTCTTCTGGTCTTTAAAATGTAATTTATTGACATTCTACCCTCATCAGTTTGGAGTAAATTGTGTAGACTGTAAAGGAAAACGTCTCCTGGGGTGAATACTTGTGCAAGGCTCTGTGATTTTCACTCGCTTCCGTTCAAGATCGATAGACTTGAACGGAACCACAGAAGGGCCACACAGACACCACGTTTCGAATTCACATGCCTGCACTGACATACAGTACATACTGAAAATACTTGCAAATAAATATCCATTTGACCGAAGACAAGCAGCGCGAATGTATAGCGGTTAACTCGACTAAAAACACCAGGCTGATCAACCACAACACCGCGCAGGAGCAGTGCGCCATATAAAGAAAAACATGGAATTTGATCTAGGGAAACCTTTACTTTGCCCTTGTATTTTTTCACATTTATAGAATCCAACCAGGAATTATGTAATCGGCCAAACTTGTTTAACACCCTAACCCTGATGTCCGAGTCGATCAGATGAGGCCAGTGGTGATTATATCATCAGACGACTGTTCACAGAATGACGCTTGTGATCTGTGCTGTAATATCACGATACATCAGTAATACACCATCTGCCGAAAATGCTTTCAATCCACAAACTGCTCACTTGTTTTCAGTAGATGGGTTACGGCTACCTTGAAAACACTTTTACCTGTCTGTTTTGTTCTGTCATCCCCCACGTGGAACTAATCGCACTCACCGGCAGGGGCCGGACTCACACCTGTTGGCGCACACCTGTGTGAACCAGTGCCCCTGAGTTCACGTACAGCGCAGCGTCATGTGACCCGAGTTGTAACTGGGGTAGCGCCGTGGTTAGCACCAAAATCCGTGATAAATCTTCCAGGTGTTTGCAACTGACTCAGTGCCGCTACGATTTAAGATCCGACATTGTTGTTATTCTTCAACTTAAAAACCAATAATTATTGTCAAGGAAGTTTAAAATATTTCGTGTCCGTTCTGGAATTTGTGACGGGCAGGAGGAGGTTAGCTACTGGCAAAGGAAAACACGATGATTACATGCATGTGCGGATTAAAGGGAACTGGGGAAGTTTATGCCGTGGCTACAAAATGACTTCAGTCCTCCAGGCCAGGAATTCCCCTTTTCTATTTTCTGTCCAGTTGCCAAACATGTTTAAGTGCGTGACTGCTTTGAAACTGCTTGGCTGTAACTGATCCAGAGGACATCTGAAGATCACACTTTCCCCTTTCAAGGAGCTGTTGTTAAAACATCCATTATACCCGATAAAGGTACTCAGGCGTGTTGAGGTAGCCTACCTTTCGGTTTTTACTGTTACGCTTCTGTACCTATTCTGTAATACCGGAATTATTTTCTTGGAGCCCTCGCCATGTTTCTTCTAAAGCCGCACTGATACAGTTCCTCCACTAGAGGGCAAGCGGAGACCACGAGTTTTGGCAGCGAGCGGCCTCTGAGCACCTTGGTCCCAGTTCTTGATTCGCAAAAAGTACAGCTTACACGATATTAAAAACGGTGTGGACTTGTATTTCCATCCATCCACCCAAGCAAAGGGCACTAGGCGGGGTTCACCCTGCAGGATGTCAGTCTAGCGCAGGACACCCACAGACACAGACACACCCACGCTAGGACCAGGTTTCCCAAAGCCAGCTGACCTGCCAGCACGTGTTTGCACTGTGGGAAGAGGCTGGCGCAATCGGAGGAAACCCACTGCGAACACGGGGGGAGAACATGCAAACTCCACACAGACAGCACCCAGGGTCTATGATAGCGCCCAGGGCCCCCAATCACCATGTGGCACGGTGTCACCCTACGCTTTCCCAGCACGTCAGATATTTGGTCCTGATTGGTTTGATACTGTATGATACCGGCTGCCTAGACATCGGAGAAAAGCGCCTGTCGTTATAATCCTTTTAAATTATTCATCTTCTGTAATATCTTTTAATATATTTTTATTATTAATGCAACTGGTCAACATTATCATCACATTTGAGATTAAAGTGCATTGTGGGACACACATGCTACAGTAGATCGCCTACATAGCGTTACTTCACTAAGCGACCGAAACCTGGCAAATGACCCATTTCCCAATTTTCTTTTTTGTAATACACAGAAATTAATGCTGGCACATTCTGAAAGAACATTCTGACTTTCACAGTCACGCTAACATGGACTTTGAGGTGTGAACTCATGTTTTAGTGCTTTGGTCTCCTGAGAAGGTAACAGGTTTTACAGATTGAGTTCTCACTGAACCGCTGGTTAAAAACAGCAGTGATGAAACAAACAGCAGAAAGTCTTGCACAGCACAGCTCCAGCTGCACCTTCAGTGCGCTATTCCACATTGTCATCTATAATTCATTAGGGCAGTGCCTCAAAGGTTTCTGGCTCATCCTTTGTGCTCTGCTTCCTTCTTGTCCTGAACACCTTGCCTATCAAGAGAAGATTGCTACATGTATGCAGTATTAAAAAAATCCTTGTTTATGTAGTTTTAAGAGAAGGCCGAACTGCATCGCATAAAAATGGACACAAATATATATATATGGTACATTATACACAAGGCTTAAATAATTAAAAAAGCACTTCTTTGAGGAACATCGTTTTCTGACAGAAATCTTTCTTCACCTGTTTAGATAGAAACATACAGTATACAACACAAAAACCTCCTTTTCAGATATGTACAGTATGTATGCATTATTTTAAGATATAGTACAGCGAGTGCAATTTCCTCATGTCACAGACAAAACATACAAACTATTGACAGAACATATAAAACACAGCAAATCAGCCCCCACCACAAAAATAAATTATACTGATCATATAACTGTAACATGTAATAGAATAGAAAAATAAATTCTATGCATAATATATAACCATCTACATATCAGATACTATCAATTAGCAATATATTAGAGGACATTTTGGTGATCTTTAGTGATTGCTGAACACAAAAATGTAACAAGTATAAAGATAGGAATTTTAAAAAAATTTGAATAAGATTTTAAAAAATCTGTAACAGCTGTGTTATAAAAGCTAAGAAATAAGCTTTTAGAAAATATACAGTAAGTAGTAAAAGTTTAATTATTAATTTCATTAGCAAGTAAAAGCCAGTCCTGTAGAACGATATATTCAGTATCAGCTCCCACAGGGTCAGCAGTGAAGTCATCTGTGAACGTTATTGCATATTACATACTGTCCATTTCCCTCCAGCAGAGGTACAACACTGGTGCCTCAGGAGCTACATTTGTTTTGAGTGTCTGACAGACCTGAATCACTGCTGCACAGATCCTGCCCTGAGGTCTCCAGTCCAGCAGTGTTCCTCTGATTATCGGCATTTTAAGAGAAAAGTTTCTTTGCTGCATTTGGCTGGATTACTTACACCAGGTGTACTGTAGGTGTCTTAAAGCCTGTTGCAGTCTCAGGAAAAGGACACTTACGCAGCTTCAGCTAACTGAACAGGTACTGTATTTGAATATGGAAATCGTCATATGGATTAGACGAGCGACCCACCGTAGCTAGGCCATCAGTGACTGCTTTGAAAATACAGAGCAGTTATAATTTGAGCCAAAAGATGATGTGGGAAGAAGTTAAATGCAAGTGTACGTAACAAACATAAGTGCACACACTGGGGCTTCTAGCTCAAGGGGTTCTGAGCACGTCTTGCCCTCAGAATAAGGAGACATGTGAGCTCCATTAATATACAGTCATTCTAATTTGCCCGGGTTCACAGTGAACATGTCCTAAACGAATAAGAAACCTGAGTGAAGACTAGACCTGCAATTAACAGGTGTTCTTCTGTTGCTGCCTTCGCAGATTCAGGGTTTTCAGGACCCATTAATAGAAGACATCCTCGTGCACCCAGTCCTTGACTTCCACAGTGAATTCACACTGCCCGTTAGACAGAAACCTGGGCGTTGACCAGGGCGGAATAGGCTCCCTGTCTGGCCATCAGCTCGCTGTGCGTGCCCTGCTCCACCACCTGCCCGTCCCTGATGACCGCGATGATGTCGGCGTTCTGAATGGTGGACAGCCTGTGGGCGATCACGATGCAGGTGCGTCCCTGCCTGGCCTCGTCCAGCGCCTGCTGCACGATCTGACAAGGAAGGGCACAGCACTCGGTGAGGACCCACCCAGCCGCTGTCGGGCAGCGCAGTGTGGAGCTCAGCCCCTAACATGTCGTTGCACTGAGGCGGCGCGGCCTGTCGCGGAGGGGCAGGGGGGAGCACTGACCTTCTCGCTCTCCGTGTCCAGGGCGGAGGTGGCCTCGTCCAGCAGCAGCACTTTCGGCTTGCGGACCAGAGCGCGGGCGATAGCGATCCTCTGCTTCTGCCCTCCGGAGAGCTGCGCCCCCTTGTCCCCCACTTTCGTGTTGTATTGCTGCAGAAACACACAGAGACACTCTTGGAAACAGGGGTGGAGACCAAGGAGAAGGTGTGTCTCTAATGCAAATTACACATTATAGACAAATAGTTTTTTTTGTGAAAACTTAATGTTGCCTAATACAGAATTACATTTATAAGCTACAGTGTCACTGGATATCAGACAGAATTGACAGTAATGCCACTGTAGAGGTTTACACATGCAGTAAATGTCACTTCTGGGGAGGAAATCTCACATGACAAGAGCTCAGAAATCAAAGTCTTAGCTAAAGGAGGTGGCTCCTATACTCCTGCCGAATTTCAATTGTTTGCATAACAATTTACAGTACCATACTGTGTAAGCAGTAAAAGTACACTTGAAAATAAATGTTGCAATGCGTTGGGCAGTTTGGACATGTTGATGTTATCAGACAGTGAATTTCACTTGACCTCTGAATATTCTCTCCAACTCTCTTGACTCAAGGGCTACAGTCAAGTACCTGAGGCAAACTGAGGATGAAATTGTGGATGTTGGCCCTTTTGGCAGCCTCCTCAATCTCCTGCTGGGAGACCTCTCTGCTGCAGTCCCCGTACTGAATGTTCTCGGCGATGCTGCAGTCAAACAGGATGGGTTCCTGGGAGACCAGACCCAGCTGGGCCCGGAGCCAGGCCAGGTTCAAGGACTTGGTGTCTTTGCCATCGACAAGCTAAGAGGGAGAAAGAAAGAAAAGTTTATTTTTATTTGTGAGTTAAATGTTTTATTTCAACAAAGAATATGCAACAAACATCACAGTTTCCTTTCATGTTTCTGGATGCTTTAGATTTTTGCAAGATATAGAGCAATATATATGTGTTTCATTTTAAGCAGCATCTTTTTGCATTATTCCTCACATCATCGGTCCTGATATTCACTCATCTCGGGTGGACACAATCAAGATGGTATAACATGCAAAAGGAGCCACCACTGAGCTCCGGGTTGCTAAATATTCCAGCAAGCAGCAGTATTGTTAATTTGTTCACACGAAGCCATTTCAGTTAAAGAGCCTGCCTGAGCTTCCGGCCCGAGTGCGATCCGTATGGAACAGCTGGACGAGCTCTGGGCCGAATGCGATCCGTATGGAACAGCCGGACGAGCTCCGGCCCGAGTGTGATCCGTATGGAACAGCTGGACGAGCTCCGGCCTGAGTGTGATCCGTATGGAACAGCTGGACGAGCTCTGGCCCGAGTGCGATCCGTATGGAACAGCTGGACGAGCTCCGGCCTGAGTGTGATCCGTATGGAACAGCTGGATGAGCTCTGGCCCGAGTGCGATCCTTATGGAACAGCTGGACGAGCTCTGGGCCGAATGCGATCCGTATGGAACAGCTGGACGAGCTCCGGCCCAGGTGCGATCCGTATGGAACAGCTGGACGAGCTCCGGCCCGGGTGTGATCCGTATGGAACAGCTAGACGAGCTCCGGCCCGGGTGTGATCCGTATGGAACAGCTGGACGAGCTCCGGCCCGGGTGCGATCCGTATGGAACAGCTGGA